ACAATATCTCTCACACACCTAAGCAGACCAGATTTTCCACAAACAACTCACCCTCCAGATTCCCCCCTCCCTGCCTTTCATCTCCCTCCCATAGCAACTGGCAGCCCCCTGGCCATCCAATAACAGCGTTCACACAGGGCTCAGAGGGCTCTGCACAGCGATGGTACATCCACCTGACTAACCTGCTCCAAAACACACCCTATTAAATACACACACGGGTAGAAGTGCACACACACACACACACATACACTGTACGCACACATTGCGTGCCAATTTGCGGCTCCCCCCACCTGCTATTGTTAGATTTATCCTGTTATGTGATGATCTTAACACCAACACACACAAACGTACTCCACCCATACACTAGCAAAGTACAACCAATTAAATAAATATTTCAAAAACTTGCCAACACTTTTATGCAGCTCAAGCTTTTTGATCCTTCAAATCGATACCAGGCCTTTGCTTTCTCATTAGAGGATGGGCTAAAACGCCACAAGATTAAATCAAATGTCAGTCCTACCTTCCCCATCTTTATTGGCATGGGCACAGTTAGCTGGAGGCGAGGCAGCGTGTGTCTCATGGCATCCATCTTTTCACTCTTTCACTCTTCTCCTTCACTTACCTTCTCTCTCGCTCTCTTTAAAAACCACTTTTTGTTTCCTATTTCCCTTTTCCCTTAGATGTGCAAATTAAAGGTCTGATCTCTCGTCAGAAGTCGGGGTTAAGTGTTCATCCTTGGGGATGTCTACCTCTTTCACACATTCTTTCACACTCTCCTTCCTGTTGTATCAAAAAAGGGTGCACGGTGACGACAAGAGATTCAGAGATACCCCTCCCCCCCGAACACTTTCCGATAAACATGGTTTCTCTGTCGACCTCTCCCCGTTCAGAAGGAAGCCAGCAGGTAGACAGGTAGCGGCGCATTCAGGGTCATGACACAGCTGAGGATAATGTAGAACCAGTAACCTTCAGGCTTCAGACCACACTCATTTGTTGAACTGGTTTGGCAGGAAGGAAAGAAGCACATGCAACCAAAACACATGAGAAATTGCGATTTTTTTTTTGTCAACTCAAAGAATGTCAAAGTTAAACAACCATGTAAGAACCAAAATCATATTGGCATTATGAGTCATACTACACCCAGGAACAAACATTCAGGTAGGTGCAATATGAGAGTTAAACCATATTATAGCATACTACAGAGAAAAACTGGTGCAGAAAGCTCTTCCTTTGAAACCAAGGCACGCTGAACGTTACTGACTGCTCGAGATAAAATAACATCATGGCCTCTACAACAGATATTTACTGCCAAAACATTTTACAAGAATGTCCTCTTCTGCTTGAAGCAAGAACGTGCTGGGGCAACCGCTGATAAAGTAAAAGTGAAAAAGTTAAGGAGCATATGTTTGCTTTGTCTTTTACACACAGACACACATCGTTCTTTCACCCATTTCATACTAGAGCTGTAGCAACAGAGCTGTAGCAACAAGTTGAATAATTCGCTGGTCAACAGAAACTATTTTTATAATGGTCAAAACATTTTACGACGTCTCTCAGGCTTTGGCCATTTTCTGACATTTTACAGACCAAACTTAAGAAAATGATCTATAGATGAATAAATAACTACCATGATTGCTAGTTTCAGCCTATGTAGATATATAACAGTATTATATACATATACAGATAATAACACCGTATGTGGAAAAAGCATCATGGGTGGAAGAAAAACCCCCTGCTGTGAACTCACTATTTAATTCTCTGTAGGACAAAGTGTAATGCATCCCTTGACCTTGTATGTGTACAGTTTGTCTTACTGTGAATAGATGTGATAACAGACCCGAGCGTCACAATGAAGTACAGCTCTCATAGGGAATCATTCTTTAAAATGCATCCACAGGAAAACAGGATTGTTGTGTGAAACCCAAAAAATAGAAATCTTAAGCAAGTGGTGCAGAAAAGCGAGAACCAAAGGATTTTAGCTAGAGCATACGACAACGCACATTAAATTTCCATCGCAGGGGAGAGAAAAAAAAAGCATCATGGGTTGTGGTGGTTCACACTTGTTATTTTAGGCATATTCCTTCGAACACAGTTGTGTTCGGAAAATAATAAGATTGCAAAGAAGCTGCAATGATTCCCATCAATTTTCTGTCTGTATGAGTCACTTAATACTGACACATGCGAGCACAGACACACACAAACTATACACTGTTCATATCCCCCCTTCTCCTTCCTCATCACCTTGTTTCTCTTTTTCGCTGCTAACCAAGGACAGTGTGCATAAGTTGCTGAATCTTGCAACATATTGTAGCTAAGGTTAAAACAGCCCACGAGCCGATACCACAAACTCATAATGTCATGTCACAAGCTCTCATAATTACTACCATGTTAATTTAGCTCAGTACCTTTAAATCAAGCAAGCGATAACACTGTTTGCTCTTAGGTGTGTTTGATGTGTATTTAATGTGTAATGGTTTTAATGTCACTGTAATTCTTGCCAAAACAAACCACAAAAAGGCTTCCTGAAAAGTACAACTCTTAAAAATCTGCCCTCTTTTCATATTTTCTGCATTAAATGCAACAGATGTTAAGATATTATCCTTCCAACAATTGTATTTTATTTCTCTGTTTTCTCTCACCTCCCACTCTTTGTTGAAGCTGCAGGAATTCACCTCCTCTGCAACTTTACGGTTTCCTCATCCTTTGCTTTCATTATGCACACACTCTTCCTCTCCCTTAACAACGAGGATTTATTTGTTAAAAGCTCAGATAAAACTGCTGAAAACAAAGATTTTTTTTAAAACTTTTTTTTAATCCAACTGTCAAAAAAGCTATAGCTTCAACCTGTGTTTTGATCATACAGCTAAAGAAAATTTTTAATGAAACAAGTTTAGAAAAGAATCCCTAGAGGATTCGTTTTTTCTGAAAAAGAAATGGAAACTTAAATCCATCATTACTGTCCACTACCACAACATAATATGATTCTTAAAAAAAAGAAAGTAGCTTGTGTTGAGACCAAAAAATTACAGCTGCAGTATCAGCCAAACCTGCATACAGAGATTTATTCTTCAGTGTAAACCGGGTTAAAGTGTCCGTAACCTATATCATGAAATCCCACTGCACACACACTAAGACTGTGCGACAACTGGAACTAGAACGGTTAGTATTATTTTTATGGCTCTTATTTTCCGTTAAAGGCAGAACATTTTCCCAGTCCACCTCAATTATATCAGGCTCCAGCACTAAGGGGGAAAGTATGACTTTATACTATTCACAGAAAACTGTGGGTGAGAGGGAGAAGGAGAAAAGCTTTTATGAATTCTGATGTCAGATGTTTTCCAAAGTACACATCCACGTGTGTGTATTGGTTAATGTGAATGCGTATGGCTGGTTACGTGTGTTGTGATGGCTTCCTCAGTACACCCAGTACTCAAATGAATACATACATATTTGACTTTCATAAAGTCAAACATTAAAATTTGAATTGAATAGTAAAGTTGTAAAAATTTTGAAAGTAGACTTTTAAAAAAAAGTTAGCAATAAATGTTATCTATAAAATGTTATGTTATATCATGCCTAGGTCAGGATACATTACAGTTCTGGTAGCAGCTCACATAATGTGTAAACTATACTTATTACTGTAACAATGTTCACAAATAAGGAGATGTTGTCCATTCTGTACAGTAAATGAAACACTCCTATATGCACACACACACACACACACACACACATCAATAGTGTTTCACTCCAAGATAAAATCCCATAGTTGAGATATTATTCATAACCACAACATAACAAATACTGATGCTAAACAACCACTGCTGCACCAGAAACACAGCAAAGCAGCCAAACATGGAAAGTAAAATTCAAGTTCATACCGTTTCTCCTCCACACACTCGTCTGCCTCTCACCACTTTTCTTCTCTGTGACAAACTGATTTTAAGAGTTAGATTTCACCCTCTTTTACACCTCACTTATTTGGGG